GGGAGGGAGGGAGGGAGAGGGAGGGAAAAAAAGCAGGAACGAATCTGTACATATTGGTCAGATGGAATTCTGGGAAAGGGTCGCGCGCGTACCAAAAAAGGATATGGGCTGTTTGGAATGTCGGCTCCGAAATCCGTCATGTCAGCGTGAAGTGTTTGAAACAACACCCGAGGGACACCGATGATGGTGAACGGGACATTGCCTAACAAGGCTACGAGGCAACTGTTTTCTTTCAAACATAAGCCTTTGATATTCGGTCCTCCGGTCCAATCACACCGGCAGTTTGTTTTCGATGACATGACAAACTTGATTTCCCCCCCCCCTTTCCGCCCTCCCGCCCTTGTCTTGTAGATAGTTCTGTCGCCCCCTCCTCTCCCCCCACTTTCAAAAGGATACGACACTTGAGGCGGTCTTCCGAGAAGGCGAAGAAACAGAGCACAGCAGCACGGGAGAACGAGGGACGCGGCGTGTGCGAACTGAGGGATACTCCTGGATTTATAAATCCAAATCCAAATTCCTAAGTACCGCTCCAGGATTCCGAATCCATGATGTGTCTTTTGTCTTAAGAGTCAAAAATGGAAAAGGGGCAAGGGACGCAGGGATTATCAACCAAGAGGGTGTTGTATACCCGATAGTCAGTGCGAGTTTTTCAGGCCAAAGATAATTTGGTTTCTCGTGGCATGCTTTCAGAAAACAGTAGGGTTCGGCCAGATGCTGAGATGTTTCCTTTCCCATGAAGGACGCAGCATCGACCCAAGGTTCACAGGCGAAGTTCACAAAGACACTGGCAACGCAGCGCGCTTACAAGAACAGGACAGGAATTCCGTCCAGGAAAGATGCAAAGCGTGAAAGCAACTATGCCGTAAAGGGTAGAGACCAGCGCAGTGTCAGGAAATGTAAGTGCATCACTGCTCCGGGACAGCAAACCCAGCAGCAGACAGCCACTGTAAATCATAAGTAATCTATTTTTTTCCTGCAAGGACCCATGAAGCATCACAGACGTTGACGTATGGCGTCAACACGGTTGGTACTATGTTCGGCTGGAAACAATGAAGGTAGATTGGATCCCACCTTTCCTCTTCTGCTCCTGGCCCACTCGTCCACCAGGCTACTAGCGCCAAGCTAAGTGCCACCTTCACGGCCAGCCCAGCTTGCCCAGCAGGAAGGAGCGCCAGGGCAGCGCTTGTCAATTTAGATACCTTCTTTCGCAGGCCAGCCATGATTACAAAAATGGTAATCGAGCTAAGTTAGCATAAGGTGCCAAAACGCTGCTTAAATGTTGTGGTCAGCCGCCGGAACCAAGATCTCTGCAGTGAGAACCTGTTGTTCAACAAAATAATTCATCAAAAAATAATTCTTAGGGGGAACAGCGTCCGTTCGACCTTTTGGCAAACAGCCGCATGCAAGTGTCGTGCATTTCGCAGCATTGAAGCTGGTCAATTGCTGTGACCGATCCCGGAGACTTTAGGTTCAAGGAATATTATATAAACTTTAGGGGTCAGGGTACGTAACGTCCTCTTGCAACCCCTGTGGTCCTCGCACCACTAGGTACCAACGGTCATCGCGAACACAGCTTTGGCAGCCGTTTGGGAGTTTCATAAAACCTCAATTATCTTGTCTATTTCCGTGGCACTGTGTTGCAGCTCGCTAGAATGCAGCAGCACCAGTCGCGTACGCTCGGCGGACGCCCACAGCAGCAACCGCAGCGCCTGCCTCGCTGCCCCGTTCTAAGGAGCGCTGGGATTTCGCGCTCTCGGCCAATTGTCCATGCGGAGCCTACGGAAGGAAATCAGCCTGATTCCGGCAAGCTGTTCGGGCTGATTCCGCTGCGCGCGAGAGGTGAAAACCTCGACGCTCGTATCGAGTCGGGCGAATTCACGGATGCTGGTTCAACGAAGGAGAAGCTGACACGACCTCTGCGCCAGGCCCTGGCAAAGGAGCCCATTGTCGGTGAGGCCATTGTGGTCACCGTTAGGCCGGATTCAAGTTGGGCCGGGGTGCTGGCCGCACCCACGGATCGCCGCTTTCATATTGAAGCCCCTGTAGTTTTGATGGTCTTGTATGTTAAATGGGTTATAGCTTGTCTACTTCTAACGTAAGCGGCGCGTCCGGTACGCTCATCCATCATCAAGCCCTAGGCTTGCCGGTGTTCAGTGGCGTATATATTCAACAGCAATAAGCTGTCAAGTGGTGTGACATTAACACTACGAGTTTTCTTGATTGTCCGTGGTCCGTCCTTCGCGACCCTCTCGCAGCGTGGACCACAGCAAGTCAGCAAGTTGAAAGCCGCTCAGAGCCTCCCTGTCACTTGCCTAAAGCTACTTTCTCACTGCTCGTATTAATGATTCGACACCCCGAGCAGGTCCCGTTTCTAAACCCTTGTGTCCATATTATTCCTCCTCTTGTGAGGTGGTATGACACATAAGCCGCGACCAAGACCACGACCAGCACCACACATGCTCCTCCTTAATCCCCGTCCTTGCAGGTCGCCCTGTGGCACGCTTCCTGGCGGATTTAGGCCGTCGCTGGCGCTCCGAAGCAGCAAAGCGAATGCCAGAAGTAGGTTGCCCAACGGCCTTCACTGGGGGTTAAGGTTCAATTTGTCTTTGGCGGAAATTAACACACACCTTCAGTAATTTAGGTGTTTAACAAACTCAGCGGTAGATTTAAAAAACTAAAAATAGTATTGGAGCTTACCGGGTTCGAACCGGTGACCTCACGCATGCAAAGCGCGCGCTCTACCACTGAGCTAAAACCCCGATGATATTTTGATATAAGTTATTTTAATGTAATATGCGGAAATGGCATGATCCAAATTCATGCGAATCCTTTAGCCGGGTTTAACCGAATGTGAGCTCCTGACCTGACCCGTTCGGGTCTGGTGTCAGTGGATTGGGATTGTGGGAAGCGGGGCACGTGGGGCGGCGAGTGTGCAAGGTCTGCTTACCGGGCGCTCTGATTACACCTCCGGGTAAAATTGGTGGGGTGCTGCTGCTGGTGATTTTGCCTATGTGTGCTTTGTCATTATGCACCAGTACCGTAGTGGTGCATTCCATCACGTGCAAGGTTCCGAGCCAAATTAGGCAACACACCAGCCAGCCAGCCAGCCAGCCAGCCCAGCAGCGCCCAAGGGGAGTGGGTAGTAATGGTGTTTGACGGCCACATCGAAACGCAACAAAAAAATGATGACTGCTGTACAAAAGGTTAATGAGACGGATTTTTTTTTCATTTTCATTATTTGGTAAATATATCACTTGCAGGCGCGTGGCGACATCCGGGAGATTGTTGGTCAGCCCGTGTTCGTACCGCTGTACAAGCTGTTCCTGGTGTACGGCAAGATCTTCCGCTTGAGCTTCGGACCGAAATCCTTCGTGATCATATCCGATCCGGCTTACGCTAAGCAGATTTTGCTAACCAATGCGGATAAGTACAGCAAGGGCCTGCTGTCCGAGATCCTTGATTTTGTGATGGGCACGGTACGTAACGCCATTGATACGACACGTTTATTGGTACGACACAGAAGTACGGCAATTTTGATTCCGCGTGCATGTTATTCTGGGGTGTACGACTTCGCTGCGTCCTTGCCTGTATGTTGTGCTGTGCCTTCCTGTCAGCCTGTTTCCGTACGTCTCTGTTTCTCTGTCTCTCTCTCCCCTTTTTCGCACCCCCTATCTCTCTCGCGCCCGCACGCGCGCGTGTGTGTGTATGTGTGTTTCTCTTTTTCACAACCTTTCTCTGCCACCCCCTTCCCTCACCCCCCGGTCGTCGTTTCGCTTCCTAGCCTTCCCCGGACACCACTTTGGCCCCTCCCCCCGTGTTTCCCCCCCCCCGTGGCCGCCCCCCCCCTCCGTGTGACCCCCGACCTAGTCTGGCACCCCATCTCTCCCTTCCAATCCTCCCCTTCCAAGCGACATCACACGAGGGGGGTAAAACTCTGTATAATCCGGAGCACCTTCTCGCATGCGGTTCCGTTACCTGCTGATCTGTCAGACGTTTTCCTAACTGACAATGCCGAGTCGCCGTCGTCTAACCGTCGCCTAACTGTCGCCTAACTGTCGCCACTCGTCAGGGCCTTATTCCGGCGGACGGGGAGGTGTGGAAGGCGCGTCGAAGGGCGGTGGTGCCTGCACTGCACAGAAAGTAAGTCTGTCTGTTAGTCTGTCAGTCAGTTTGGCTACATGTATGTCTGTGTACCTGTCTGTCTGTTTTGCATACATGTCGGGTGGGGGCGGAGTGGGGAATGTGTGTTTGTCGTTTCCGTTGACACCTAGATAGGCGACAACGACTAGACTAGACAAATGTCGTTTGCTTTCATACATACATACATTTATTCAGAAGAAGTCTGAGAGCTTCCAGCTCGATGCGGCCAAGGCAATTAAATTACCATCATTATCATCATCCTCGCAATGGACTCGAAGGCTATTACTTCTACTTCTACTAGTACTACTGCTTAGGGTTGTCTCCTGTGGGGCTATGTGTGTGTATGAAACCCTTGGCTGAGGACTTTTTGCTATTTCACACATGTATGTATGTATCCTTTTTATTCGTGTGTGTGTCTGTGTGTGTCTGAGGTTCCCCCCCTCCCCCCCCCTTCACCGTGTTCCCTCCTCCCCCCCCTTCACCCCCCATCTCACCTCTCCGGCTTGAATATGTCCGGCTCGTCCCATAGCTCGGGGGAGCGGTGCAGGTTCCACACGGAAGTACCTCCTTGCGTATGTTACCCCAATCCCCGTATTTCTCCACCCCAATCCTTCACCCCCACCACCCCTACCCTACCCTCCCTCCTCCATACACACAGGTACGTGGCGTCCATGGTCGGTATGTTCGGAGACTGTACGGTACACGGTACGGCAACGCTGGATTGTGCGGTTGCCAGCGGTCAATCCATCGACATGGAGAACTACTTCTCCCGCCTGGCTCTGGACATCATTGGAAAGGCGGTTTTCAACTACGACTTCGACTCGTTGACTCACGATGATCCGGTTATTCAGGTAAGTTGGTTGGTCGTTGGTTGGTTATATGGTTGGAGACCGAGAATTGTTGGCGGTTGATGTCGGGACATGAAATCAATCGGATCTCAGATTCGGGGATTTGAAATATCAAAATGTAATTTCTTTTCCATGTTCTTCTTTCCCCACTTGCTTTCAACCCTCTCCACGTGAATGTGTATTCATGTTACACGCGTGTCGTACTTGTGTACGGCAGGCCGTCTACACTGTACTACGGGAGGCCGAGCACCGCTCCACTGCCCCCCTGGCCTACTGGAACCTTCCGGGCGCCACTATTGTCGTACCACGGCAACGGAGGTGCCAGGAGGCGTTACGGATTGTGAACGACACGTTGGACGGCCTCATCGACAAGTGCAAGAAGCTGGTGAGAAGGGAGTGGGGGGAGAGCTCCAGCGCCCGAAATGTCGTGGTGTCGCTACCCTCGAAAAACACACGCGTACACACACACATAGACACGCGCACACACACACACACACACACACACAACCTTCCCACCCTCTTACCTACGAAACGTCCTTTCCTTCCCTTTTTAAAATTATTCCTTTTCAGGTGGAGGAGGAGGACATGGAATTTAACGAGGAATTCCTGTCGGACCAGGACCCCTCCATCCTCCACTTCCTGCTCGCCTCCGGGGACGAGATCTCGTCCAAACAGTTGCGGGACGATCTGATGACGATGCTGATTGCCGGGCACGAAACCACGGCTGCCGTACTGACGTGGACGCTGTACACGCTGGCGAGTCACCCGGAGGCGACGGAGGCGATCCGGCGGGAGGTGAGTGTTCCCGCCGCCACACCCCGTGGGGAACTGGGGGGAGGGATGTGATCGGAGGGTTGATCTGTGGGGGGGAGTTTGTTTTGGAGAATTTTTGGGGAATTTGAGGAATTTGGGGATTTGGGGAATTTTGGTGGACAGAGGGAAAGTTGTGTTTTTTCCCTTCTCCTAAAGAAAAAATAAGCTGTCTCAATTTTCCGTTAAATATTTGTTGGTGAATCATAATCAACATGAATTATATAAAATAATATTTTTGTATCGATAACATTTACGTACATCACAACAATTCAACAATCGTTCGCAGGTGGATGAGGTTCTTGGCGACCGGGCCCCCAACGTGGAGGATTTCAAGTCCCTCCGCTTCACCACGCGGGTGATCAACGAGGCCATGAGGCTGTACCCGCAGCCCCCCGTGCTGATAAGGCGGGCATTGCAGGTACGGCAGGTTTGGGGGGAGGAGTGTTAGGGAGGGGGGAAGGGGGAAATAGGGAAATAGTAGAGGTAAGGAATTCGTGGGCGAGTTTCTGTGTTGGATTGGGTTGGTGCGCATGTGTGCATGTATATGTGTGTGTTTGTATATCTGTATATCTGTATATGTTACATGAATATATGTGATTGTGTATTTGTGTGTGATCGTGACTGTGATTGCGTGTATGTGTTTGTATGTATGGGTGTATTGCGGGTTAACGTGCGGTTTGGGAGGTGGGGAAAGGCAGGCGGGGAGGTGAGCTCTCTCTGGTCTTCTGTCTCTTGACGTTTACGAGGGCCTTTTTAAGGGGGAGGTGGGTTGGAATGGGAGGTTTTAGGAATGGGGGCTTTCCGTGTTGATGTCAGGCTACAGTTGCTGGTTACGGCTGCCAATCGGGCGAAGTTAACCTACCTGAATTTTACTTGGATTTTTTATCACGATACTTTTCTTCACGTGCAAATTGTCATAAAAGTTAATTTTACATTTGCCTTTTTTTGTGCAAGTGTTTTGCCTTTTTTCCGGCTTTCCTTCGGCCTCCTCTCCTCTCCCTCCTCCCGGGCCCCCCCCCCCGGGCGCGCCCCGCCGACCTCATCCTGCGGTGTTGGTGATTTTCGCCCTCTGCAGTCTATAGTGTGTTTTTGTTCTGATGTAATCCCCTAATCCTCGCCCCCTCCACCTTCTTTCCTGCACTTTCCCTACACTTTGTACGGCAGGAAGACAAGTTCGATCAGTATGTCGTACCTGCTGGATCTGATCTCTTCATTTCCGTTTGGAACCTGCACCGCTCCCCCGAGCTATGGGACGAGCCGGACAAATTCAAACCGGAGAGGTGAGATGGGGGGTGAAGGGGGGGGGAGGAGGGAACACACACACACGCGCGCGCGAATTAAAAGGATACATACATAGGCAGGCGGCTGGCAGAGGTTAAGGCCTGACTTCTGCTCCCGGAGTGTCTGAGTTCAAATCCGCCTGCCGCTGCTGGGTATGTGAGAGGTGTTGAAATGGGAGGTGGCCCCCCATCACATGGACGGTGTAGGACGTGATAATATCAACTTACGAGCTGACCAGGAACTAAGTTGAGGCGCCGTTGATCCGCTAGATTTGGTTGGATGCTGGTGGTGAGTTGCTGAACCCAACGAATACATTCTGAAGTCGGATGGGGTGAACGGATTAGGGTGCCCCTCTAGCAGGGGAGAGCAGGGAACTGCCTCGGGAAAGGGGGCCGCTGGTGAAGCTTAACCACCCTGTAACAACATGCATACATACATACATACTTACATACTTACATACTTACATACATACGCGCGCACGCAGGTTCGGGCCTCTGGATGGTCCTATTCCGAACGAGGTGACGGAGAACTTCGGCTACCTGCCCTTTGGGGGCGGGCGCCGGAAGTGCATTGGAGACCAGTTTGCGCTTTTCGAGGCGCTCGTGGCGCTGGCCATGTTGGTACGACGGTACGACTTCGTACTGGACACGTCCAAGCCTCCGGTCGGCATGACCACGGGTGGGTCTTGCGGGGGAGCGAGGGGGGGGTTTGGGGTCATTATCGGTTTCCGTACTTGTTGCGTGTCTTTGTGTCTGTGTGTGTTTTGATTACCCTTGGAGATTTGAGGGGATGTGCGGAGGGGGAGGGGGAGCAAGAAAATGAAAAGATGGACGGGGAGGTGGGAGGGGGAAGAGCTAAATGTTATTATCTTAACTCCTGGGTTGTGAAAAACTAAAACCCGTAAAACCGGTAATTAAAACCCGTAAAACCCGTAAAACCGTGTCGGACGCGTGCAGGTGCGACCATCCACACGACCGGCGGGCTGTACATGCACGTTAAGAAGCGCGACATGTCGGGGCTAGCGGCGGCGGTACGGCGCCAGGAGACGCCCGCGTACGCCTTCGCGTACGGCACTTCTACCGTCGCCGCGATGGCGTCGCCGGCGTCCTCCTCTCCCGCCGCCGTCGCAGGCGGAGGCTGCCCGTTCCACACTGGCGCCGCCGTACCACCACCACCGCCGGCGGCGGTGGCGGCCGCCAGCGTCACCGTCGGCGGCGCGACGGCGACGCTTGGCGGCGGCGTCAGCATTGGGCCGTCGGCGCCCGCGGGCCCCGCGGGACTCTGAAAACAGTCCTGAAAAACAGTCCTGAAAAACAGTCCTGAAAAACCCGATATATCAGAATACCCGTCATCATAATATTGAGCCCTCCGGATTCGCACTTAAGGGCGGTTGGGGTTTTGGGGGGAGAGGGGAAGAAAGAAGGGATGGGGGGAAAGCGAAACACAGAATATTGACACGATACGTGTTTGTTGGTTGGTTTAAAGTTGGTTTTAGATCCTAGGGTTTTAGGTTCGAATGGCCTTCGTGGTGGCTGTAACAGGAAATGGCACAGCGGAGCAGCGGGAAGGAAAGAAGGGGTGAGAGGTTTTCAGAGGTTTTTCAGTGCCGAGGTGAGCGCTGATCTTACTTACCTGACATACATACATATATGCACACGTGTAGTTCTGGCGGTGTGAGAATCGTCCACAATTCCGTACATACACTGCGCATGCGCACTAGCACGTGCACGGCGACGAGAAAGTCGCACTCGCGTAGTGAGCTTGTTTCGCTGGCATCGGCCTCTGACGTCGTACGGGCCGTGTGTACGGACAACGTGCACGAACGTTGCGTACGTCGTGCGCCACCCAATTTGTACGAAAGGAACAAACGAACGAGCGAACAAATTGGTAGGGGTCTTGGGGTTCAAAAGAAGCGGGCAGGTCTGAAGTAAGAGCTTGGGTTCGGGTGGATGCCCCCTGGGTGTGGGAAGGGGCCCCCTCCATCATCTTGTCGGAGGGACGAAGAGTGATTAGTGGTGTATGTACGTACGTATGTGTGTACGTATGTGTGTACGTATGTGTGTACGTATGTACTTATGTATGTTTTTGTGGGATGGGATTGCGATCGGTCCTCCCCCTACTGCCAACGCCAACGCAGAAGAATAGGGTCATTCCAGAAACGTGCCGCCTCTTATCCGTCCAGCTTTGAGGGCCAACTGTCAACTGCCAACTGTCAACTGCCAGCTTATCCTGACCATTGGACAGCTGTTAGGGTTTTAGTTGGGCTCGGTTTTCAATTGGGAGCCCGATGGAAGGGCAGTTGGCTCTTCTGTTTTTGATTACTTTTTATCGATCGGCTGTGTTTGAGCTTATCTTGCGTCTGCGCAGTTTTTTCCCATGTCCTAGGTTTTGGGGGCTAATTCATGCCGTACGAGTTGCGCAGAAGTTTTCTCTTAGCCGCACAAACGCAATGAAGTCGAAAACATGTAATAAGCTGGTGGTGAGTGACTGGAAGTTTATAGCTGATCGTTGACAGTTGGCAGTTGATGTTGGTTGGCGCTTTTATTAAGTGAGGCGCTACAGGGTGGCTTCTTCCCTCAGTCAGCTTTTCGTTGGCGGTTTTGACGGATAGCAGTTGGGATTCGTACGAACATCTTCCGGGAGAAGAGCATAGTCGGGAGCTTTGGGTGGTGTAAAAAGTGATTGTTTTGTTTGGCCGTTGTTATTATCATAACATTGGATCCAGGTGCCGATGGTCATAGCAGTTAACAAACGTGGCGGTACGTACGGCGGTACGAATACCAAACTAACTTAAACCGAGACAAGCCAATCCCCCTGGGCCTCAGCAAGGATCCTCTCGCAGCAACACAGCAGCTGCTAGCCGCCAGCCAGCACCTCAATACGCTGCGATGTTTAGCCGTGTTTGTGGCGTGTGGGGAAATTCACACCGCGCTTTCGTTAGGGATCCTGCCAACCCAACATCATTATCATTATCGCTATAGCATCAATCATAGTATCATCAGCTGCAGAATGATTATCAATTGCAGCATAATCATTAATTGCAGCATGCTCAGCAGCAGCAGCATACTCAGCAGCAGCAGCAGCAGCAACAACCTTATCACCAGGAGCAGCAGCAGCATCTTTACATCCTCACGCAGCGTCGCAACAAGGCAACAAGGCTGGCCATGCAACCCTTCCAGAACCCCCTGGCCACCGCACCCCCCACATCAACCCTGGGGCCATGATGGGCCTTATGATGGTGGTGGTGGTGCTGATGGTGGTAATGCCGGTGGTTGTGGTGGTTATTGTAGTTATTATTGTGGTGCCTATGTGGGCGCCGCCGCTGTCTTCCGAAACCTGGCGATGAAGAACCCCATAACGTCATCCGCCCCTTCCTCCTCCTCCTCCTCCTCCTCCTCTCGTAGTCCGGTTGGGCCTCCTCCTCCTGCTGCTTCCCCTCCTCCTCCGCCTCCACCTCCGTGATCTGCATGATCCCCTCCCCTCCCCCGCTCTTCACCACCACTGCTGATATGCCGCCCCTTCCCCCCTCCCGCCTCCTCCTCCTCCTCCTTCCCGGGCTGTTGCGGTTGCAGCTGTAACGCTTCCGCGGGCCTCGTCTCCCCCATCTCGCCATCTGGTGGCATCGGCGACTGCGCCATCCTCCTCCTCCTGCTCCCCTGCAACCACCCGGGGTCGAACCGCTGCACCTGTGCATAGCCACCGGTGGGGCAGATAGACAGACAGGCCGACAGCCGGTTAGCAGTTATCTATCTATCCATCTATCTATCCATCTATCTATCTATCTATCTATCTATCTATCTATCTATCTATCTATCTATCTATCTATCTATCTATCTATCTATCCATTTACTCATACATATCTTAAGTTCCTAGTTAGGATCTCGCGTTTCTGATCACCATCATCTTGATCATCTGACGGCGGGGAACCAACCCAAAAGATATTTTGTGCAATGTTTGATGTTTGGGGATTTTGAAGGCTGTAGAAGTTAGAAGATCCCCACAGTTTCAGACTGACTGACTGACTCGGGGCCGCCGTACATGCCGTACGCCGTCCCCCCCCCCCTTGGGACCCACCAGCGCCGCCTCCCGCTCGGACAACCACCGGTTTCCCGACTCTGGGTCGGCCCCCGTAAGGCCCGTAAGGCCCAACAGCGGATCCGCGGGGAGCAACTCCAGGGAACCCGAAAACCTGGGACGAAAAGTGAGAGTAGGGCAGCGGCGTATGGCATTTGAAAAGAACGTTTTGATTTATAGCCTTGTTTTGTTGGATTTCCCAACTCCTGGTTGTAAGGTCTTTTGCGGTCCTCCTCCTCCTCCTTCAACAGCTAATATGATCAGTAATATTATTTTCGGTCGGGTCGTGTGGTGAAACCAAAGCTCAGTTGGGAACACTCAAAAATATTAATTGCAAAATCCTCTTTCAGAAAATTCAGCTAATTGTCAGCAGCTAGCTGAAAAGTTGTTGTTTGTCGTTTTGCAACCGCCCAGCATACATGAAACGAGAAAGAGACATGTACGGCAAAACTTGCCGTACAGCAAAACGGTTCAACCAAGTGAATGTGTCGACCTGTCAGCGATCCTGTCAGCGATGCTCATCAAGTGGATTCATCAAGAGTACATTCAGACCATATTGCATTCATTGGAAGACAACGCACTCACCTGTCCAGAGCCCATGCCACGTTGGCCTCATTCTCATCTGGGTTTATCGTACACGTGCAGTACACCAACTCGCCACCAGGCGCCAAGAGTTGTACGGCAGTGTACAGCAAGGACCGCTGGTAAGCCGCAATCCCTCGGAGCTTTACTTCTCGCAGTGTTATGTCGGTGTGTATGTACGTACGTATGTATTTACGTATGTACGGCATGGCGGGAGGGACAAACAGGACGGGGAAACGCATTTCGATTTACACGAGGTAACTACAAGCACAGCACGCATCGCATGGCGCAACTAACCTAACGTGATGCCGTACACCCCATGTGAAGGGGACTGCACCACTGAGCAATGCGAGAGGCAGACTGGAAGAACTGGAAGCGATAGACATACAGACTCGGGGACATAGAAACTGCGGACGTAACGCTCCCTTGTTCCAGCTCAAGCCGTACATTCACTTTAGCAAATGCCGTACATACGTACGTACGAACAAGCCGTATGTGCTTACCTGTTTTAAGCTCCAGGCGTGCAACAGCCGGGGTCGTAACCCCAAAGCGGAGCACGGCGGGTCGAGGAGGATGTAATCGAAGGTACCCGGCGGGTAGGGAGGGGGACCGAAAGGAGCTTGCTGAAAATGGGAAGGGGAGGAGGGAGGGGAGGCGAAAAGTAGTATCACTCGTGTACGGCAGCTGCGGCGTGTACGACAGTAGCGGCAACATGTACGGAAACAGCGGAGGCGGGTGCTGTTGGTGTGGCGATTACGGTAATGGTAGTGGTGATGAAACTCTTGCTGCCTCTGAGCTTTCTAAATTAGGACACCATGGACCTGCGACCTCCTGCCGTACAAGTCACCGTACACGCCGTTACCTGCTCTCCTTCTCCGTATGTTTTGACTTTGACTTTAACTTTGACTTGTGGACCAGTGGAACCTTCTTCTCCTGTGCCGACCGCTTCCCCCTCATCGCCAGCTTCGCAGATGTTTCCCCCATGCTCCTCCTGTTCCGGCGCAACGGGGGTAAATAATTGGCCTCCGCCTTCGCCTGCTCCTTCTTTCCGAACTTGGACTGCAGCCTGTACGGCATGTACGGCATCTCCCTGATACACCTCCACACATCCCCCCACGTCCATGTCTGCTGCCAGTGACTTAATTTCGGATACCTGCGTAGGTGGATAAACAGACAGACAGACAGACAGACAGACAGACGCGTAGGCAGGCAATACACAGAGTCACACACACACACGCGCGCGTACATAGACGCACATACAAACAAACTTGACAACCGAAAAAACCACCACAGACGATGGGAAGATGCGCTTGGGAGGCGTCCAAGCAAAAATGGCCTCAGCAGTTGATGATGCCCAAGTCCCTGGACAGCCCTGCCGTACCTTGCTGCCCAACCCGCCGTACCTTGGCTGCCGTACAATCTATTGCCACCACCTTTCCCTGCCCCCCCATTATCTGGGCCAGCAGTGTGGTCTTCCCCCCTGGAGCGGCGCACATGTCCAACACCGTGGAGCCTGGAGGGGGGGAAAGAACCTGTGGTGGAGTTGGGGGAGTTGGAGGAGTTGGGGGCGGCGGAGAAGGCGGAAAAGGTGGAAAAGGCGGAGGAGTTGGAGGGAGGAAGCGAGGTTATTCAGGCCTCAGGACGCAAACACATACACAAATACACACATGCAATCTCACGGACAATAATGTAGCCATGTACCCTTTCAAAAGAGTGCGCACACATGTCCGTATTTATGTCCTCCATTGTGCCGTACTCACCATTGCAGCCACGATGCTGGGCAGCGCCTGAAGCATCATCTCGCCTCTCAGGATACCTGGGCGGGCGGGAGGTAGGGGAAATAGGTTGAGCTGCTCAGCCATAGACTGACAGACAGACAGACAGACAGACAAATACACGGACTGGCAGGCTGACAGACAGACAGATGAGCCATTGCCAGTAATATTTATAAGGTACAAAATGCTCAGAAAGCTTATTCTTAAATTTTACTTACCTAATGGCTTACAAACATTGTGCGTGCAGTTTGCAATAACATTGCAGCTTCTAACCAGACCTCGATGTTGGATGAAACATGGACGAGCATGATGGGGCTGAGACACAATTGCTCTTTGCGCAACAGAGCGCAACCCGGCAGGGACGTTTGAAACAAGAGGCGCTTTGCGGCCGGGACCGAAGCGCGGTGTTATAGAATAAAAGAAAAACGCGGTAAAATGCAAATCGCAGAAGTCCGGACGATGTGAAGTGTGAAGCAGCGGCGGCCGGAAGGCGGTTACAAAAGTTCACACTGACGGAAATCGATCAAGACATATGGATGTGACGCCCGAAAAAATGGCAAGCAAAGTAGAGAAATAAGTTAAGAAGAGCTAGTAATAAAATATAGAACGTTGTATTCGAGAACTGCAGGAAGAGAGCTGTAAGATTCCGCAAGATAAATGCCAAAGCGTTCACAGAGAGACGAGGGAGAGGAGGGAGAGACGAGGGAGAGACGAGGGAGAGACGAGGGAGAGACGAGGGAGAGACGAGGGAGAGGAGGGAGAGGAGGGAGAGGAGGGAGAGGAGGGAGAGGAGGGAGAGGAGGGAGAGGAGGGAGAGGAGGGAGAGGAGGGAGAGGAGGGAGAGGAGGGAGAGGAGGGAGAGGAGGGAGAGGAGGGAGAGGAGGGAGAGGAGGGAGAGGAGGGAGAGGAGGGAGAGGAGGGAGAGGAGGGAGAGGAGGGAGAGGAGGGAGAGGAGGGAGAGGAGGGAGAGGAGGGAGAGACGAGGGAGAGGAGGGAGAGACGAGGGAGAGGAGAGGGAAGAGGGACAAAAGGGAGAGGAACACGTTAATGTTGCTTGTATTGCCGTGTTTTGTCTTTTCCGACAACCAAGTTCCCGGGATCTTCCCAACGCATCCCAGAAAACATGACACAACGTGAAGCAGCAAACATAGAACACGTCTAAAAGGTCAAAACATCGTACAAACATAGAACGTTGTGCTCGAATACTGCAGGTAGAGAGGTGTAAGAAGTTAATTGTTCACATAACAGGAAGCACATCTGCAACATTAATGTACCCTAAGTCGTCCAGGAAGACAACGCGACGGAGAGGACAGAGGTGTTTGGAAAAAGGGACACGAGAGAGCGAGAGGAGGGACAGCTGGAGGAAAGGGACAAAAGGAGAGAGAGAGAGGAAGGGGAGGAAAAGTTAGCTCGCATTCCGAGAAGGAAAAGAGCGAAAAAAAAGAAAGGGACAAGATGAGGGTATGATGGAGGAGGGAGAGAGCACAAAAGGACGAAGAGGACAGGGAAGAGAGAAAGGATAAGGAAAACAACATTTTCATGTTGCTTGTATTACCGTGTTTGTCTTTATTACAGACTACAGAAAACTTCAAGATCTTCACATCATGTCCCAGGATCACCCAAACACATTCCAGGCACCCCAGAGAACAAGTCGTCGGCCTTTCGGCAAGTCCTGGTAGTGTGTGAAGTTTGAAGCTTTCCATCGGTTATCGCACCTCATTCTTCGACTCTCCGGGCGCGTACCACACATCACCCGACCCATCACAACATAAGCTGCAGCACCCTCAACCGCAACCACTTCACAGCTAGACAATACCCCTCTGTTGGGCAAGCCTACATACGTACGCGTAGCGTGTGGTTTGCCTCCTTAATATCGTTTATTCATATCCCGAGCCTTCGAGAAATAAGATAATGCGCTAACATGTTTTACATTTAGCAAGGTCAGTTGCATTTAAAAAGGTCATATGACCCATTGTCCGGTCTGCTTGCTTCTTCTGTTTCTTCGATACTATTCCCATTCATTACTGTTTACAGATGACTAAATAGTTAAATGACCTACTTAAGTAACAAACTATTTATATAGTCGAAATTCTATACGACAACACGTGGATAACTTGCCGTACACCGTACACGTACCGTTACAGGACGGTACTTCGTACAGTCGACGCTCCATTTGCAATGCCAGGCCTTCCTGCGCTCGAAATAAGGCCTTTCGACCTGTCGCCGCCCTACCCAAACCCAAGAAGACACGATCCGACCGCCTGCTGGTGTTGCTACTGCTCGTACTGCTACTGCTCGTACAGCTACTGCTGATGTCGCTGCGGTCTAAGTCGTCTTCATTACTGCGGAAAGTGGCGGCCTCCAGAGGACGTACAGTAGTCGTACTGCCATTAGCAGCAGCAGTAGCGGTAGCAGCAGCAGCAGCACTAACACTCGTATTGTTGTTGTTGTTGATGTTTGTGGTGGTGGTGATGTTTGTGGTGGTGGCGGTGTGCAATGACGGCCCCTCCGGTCCGCTTGTCATCGTTCTCTTCCCCCTCGTCCTCTTCACCCGCGCCTGCTGCCCCTGCGCCCAGGCGAGGGGTACGGACCCATCGGGTGCCACCACAGCACCCCGACTGATCCCCACGGCTAGCCGGGAAACAGAAACAGCAGTAGCAGTAGCAGCAGCTGTAGCTGTAGCAGTAGCAGTAGCTGTAGCAGTAGCTGTAGCAGTAGCAGTAGCAGCAGTAGCTGAAGCGGAGGATGGTGCCTCCAGGTCTCCGGAACCATCCCGATGCTGACCACTCCAATGATGACCCACGGGTCGCTCCAGGGCGGCGCTGACGGCTACCAGGTCGCCGGCGGAGATTCCCGCGGATGCCGCCAACATGCCTGGCGCGTACACGTGCGCTCCCTAAGCAGTTAATTTAGTTGGACAGCAGTTAGTTTAGTTGGACATCAAAACACAGCATGGCAGGAGATTGATTCGGTGGTTGAGTAGCGACTGTACGGCATGACGGTCAAGGAGGTGATTAGAACGGTTAAGCCGGGAACGTTCGATTGACAGAAAGCCGTAAGGCCCTCCGTGTGTGTGTGAACGGCGAATCAGGCCAAACCAACCTCAACACCCGTCTGCCATGGTCCCCTCAATACCCACGTATATCCCCTCTCTTTTACCCTCCCCTCCCCCTCCCCTCCCCCTCCCCCCCCCCTCCCCTCCCCCTCCCCTCCCCCCCAACCCCCAATCCTGGGTTTCCCCACGCAAACCCAGCTCCCTGAAGCCACACACCTTGAGCACCGCCTCGGCAGCATACCGGTTAACAATTACCTCGGGAAGCCCTACATGTACAGCGCCGTACAGCGTACGGCAGAAAAACAATATTCCGTTTGGTGATAATATTCCGTTTGGTAATAATATTCCGTTTGGTGTTTTATCTATGTCACATGCATATTACATAAAAAAACACAGGCATGCACACCATAAAGCATCAAACGCCACCCCACCCCACCCCACCTTCAAGGTGGGTAATCCGTACCGCCGATCTCCCACACACATCCCTAACCGCCACGCACCTGGATCCCACTCAATGTCGTACGGTCCGCTGCCGTACAACATTAAAACCCCCGGCAACCTTGGATGCAACCGCAGCAGTGGCGGTTGATGCGGCAGTTGCGACTGTTGCGGCGGTTGGGAGTGATCCAGATCCAGATTATCGTTTTTCACCGTTGTGGTGACCGTTTCAGTGATGACGACGACCTGCTTCTCGTCAACCGCCGCTCCCTTGACGACCTGGAGCGTTTGAGATCGCTGCTGTTGTTGCTGCTGCTGTTGTTGCTGCTGCTGTTGTTGCTGCTGCTGTTGTTGCTGCTGCTGCTGGTGTTGCTGTTGTTGCTGATGCTGCTGGTGTTGCTGGTGTTGCTGATGTTGCTGTTGCTGGTGTTGCTGGTGTTGCTGTTGTTGCTGGTGTTGCTGGTGTTGCTGTTGCTGGTGTTGCTGGTGTTGCTGTTGCTGGTGTTGCTGCTGTTGTTGCTGTTGTTGCTGGCGTTGCTGGTGTTGCTGATGTTGCTGTTGCTGGTGTTGCTGTTGCTTCCAGAGCTCCTGTCGCAGCCTCTTCATGACGTCCTGCGTGCGGAGGAGAAGATTCGCAGCAGCTGGTTGGAGGTGAGCCATTACGGGTGGGGAGAGCCATTACGTGGTGCGATGTGTGATGTGCTGTAATGTGATATGTAGTGTGATGGCGTATGCCCATAAGCTCTGTGTTGCATAATGATATGTATGTATGTATGTATATAGGTTTGGCAGCAACTTCCATCTTAGGTAAATGATTGAATGACAGGTGCTATAAGGTAAATGATTGAATGACAGGTGCTATAATCAATCCCTCAAAATCATCATCATCATCATCATAATCGGTGCATAACCTCACAACCTAGCATTGACGACGTAGGGCTGAATTCAAGCCGCGCTAAACCTCAGAGCGAGCCGTTTGTTCGATAGCGTAGCGGCATATAGTTGCTTTTGCCGTACCTGCGGTCGTGCTCGCAGCGTGTTGACTCGTAGACTCGGTGTTAGGCTCGGCCTGGAAAGGGCAGCTGACATTGCAGCTAATCGGCTGGCCCCGAAGCAGGCCGTAAAGTAGGCTTCAACCTGGTATGACCATTGCAAGAGGGTAATCGATTATGTGACTTTCAAGCCAAGGTGACTTGCGTGCGTGACTCGTAGACTCGGTGTTAGGCTCGGCCTGGAAAGTGCAGCTGACATTGCAGCTAATCGGCTGGCCCCGAAGCAGGCCGTAAAGTAGGCTTCAACCTGGTATGACCATTGCAAGAGGGTAATCGATTATGTGACTTTCAAGCAAAGGTGACTTGCGTGCGGGTTTGGGTGGGATGCTCGACATGATTCATGGTTGTTGCATAGTATCTCTGGTATCTGGGGACTAAGGTTGCATGCTTCGAAGATGACGTTTGAGAATTGAATGAGAGGCGTTGCAATGGTCCATCCTGGCCAGAATGTAAAAGAAAGACTAATGCCAACGAACTGTTTGCCATGCCACGACGGATGCAACATTTCCAAATAGGAAGCAAAAAAATGCCTCCTAATCTGAGCGTACCGCAGGTTCCCAGCGAACTCGTGAATGAGCGCCGCAACACTGTTGATTCATGTTGGAAATGCGCGTTGAAGCCGCCAATCGTCGAGTTTACCTCGTAATGTTACACTATTCGCTCAACAGATGGATGCACGAAAGCGCCTGAGGGCTTGCGTTACCGGAAGAAAATACTATTAAGCCTAATAGGGTTGCCATTCGCCGCGGAATAGGCAAGTGCCAAGCCTCGTAACTATCAGGCCACGAATCCAATTTAAATTCATGTGACCGGGATTAACTGTCCATGGCATAAACGCGCGATCAGATGCGGAAAAATGATATATACCCGGCGTCGGTTGTCGGTTGGTCGGTGAAGGACATGTCAGTTGCTAGATTCCCCGAACCTTGACCAAAGGTATTCTTTTGGTGCCATGGTGCTTTGTTACTGAGCACGGCCCAGTTGGTTGTTTTGGTGGTCCTCAGTGAAATGAACCGTTGGAGAGTGGTGGAGCGACTCGCAAAGAGGTCGGCAAATCCGGTGGGTCCTGCGGGTCCGTACCACAGTACCCGCAGCCGAAATTCGGCTTACGGCCCCGGCTGCGGGACCCAAACGACCAAAATTCGACCAAAAGACGTGATTTGCAGCCTCTATTACGGCCCGTAGGGCCGCGCGCTAGACTCGAACTCTGTGTTTGACTTTGTAAAAGACTGTCACGACCACCGTTTCACAATTCGGTGACGGTTATCAATGATAAATCACAGAAATTATTAAATTTCTAGCGTCTGTACCGATGACTTGCAGCTGCCGCAGCACTCGACTTGGTCAATTGTGGACTTTGGCATACCAAGTATTGGTCCCATGTCGCCTATCCTATACATAATCTTCAGCATTATTGCTTGTATTTTCAGCATGCTTTCTAACTGCTGACCGCGGCATGTCGGCGGCATCTCGCCGGGGAACGAAGGAAACACGTGCAGAAATCTCCAGCGGTCGACAGCGCACCTTGGCCGGCATGCTGAACGGTCGTAAAGCCACTGCTGAGCCCCCAGCAACAGATATCGAGGCGGAAGAGAAGTTACTTGGGCCATCGGGCAGCGCCGGTGAAGCTCCAGGTCTACTTTTCCCAGCACCACCACCTCCCAACTCCGGAAACGTCAGCACCGTGGCCCTTCCTCCACAGAAGAAAAGGCGCACTCAAGCCAACACCGCCGCCACCGGTCCCACTCAGCAGCCAGCACCTCTCCTGCCCCCGCCACCCCCAACACCACCGGTCCCACTCAGCAGCCGGCAACACTCCTGCCCCCGCCACCCCCAACACCACCGCTCCCGAACAGCAGCCGGCAACACTCCTGCCCCCGCCACCCCCAATGCCACCGCTCCCGAACAGCAGCCAGCAACTCTCCTGCCCCCGCCACCCCCAACACCACCGCTCCCGAACAGCAGCCGGCAACTCTCCTGCCCCCGCCACCCCCAACACCACCGCTCCCGAACAGCAGCCGGCAACTCTCCTGCCCCCGCCACCCCCAACACCACCGCTCCCGAACAGCAGCCGGCAACACTCCTGCCCCCGCCACCCCCAACACCACCGCTCCTGAACATCGCTCCGAGCGAGCATGTGATAACGGTTCCCAGCAGTCGTTATTACCAGATCTCGTCCCTTCATGCTTTTGTCGTACATCTGTCCAGGGTCACTTCTGGTGGAGCTTAAAATGTCTGTAAGCAGGTAACGCTTTCAAATCAACTAACACACTTCACTGTACACGCATTATGCAAGGCTTGGCCGTTTCATGCTTGAAAACAAACCAAGGACGTTCTATGAATGTATATGTAAACATTTTTAGCCCGGGATACGCTCGCTTCCATATTTCGTGGGGCGTTGCACATTCAACATAGCGCCGTACAGGTACCACTATGGACGGCTAAACGTTTCAAATGAATAAAACTTTTTATCGTGGGCCTAATGATAAATTAATACCAAGCAGATCTACAGATGCAGTTTTTGTACGCATGCCCTGGAAGCTGTTGGATTCTATGTACAACTCCATAGCGGAGCACAGCGTCTTCTGTGCACACCAGTACTATGCGGATTATCATGATCGCATCAATTATCTCTGACGCCTGCTGAAATGTTTTTCCTCCTAATCATTTTACTCGTACGGATACCGTCGGACACTTTCGTGTTTGCACGCGAATTGCATCAGGCTTTGACACAGCCTGCAAGGCAAGATCAAAATGGCATCAAAACTGTGCAATGTAACAGCGGCGTGGGGCTCGTGGAGGCATTTGCTGACCCGACAGTCCAGACCGCTCTGATCGTGGCTGACATTGTTTTGTCCGCCTCGGACTTCGCGGCGCGCGCCTCTCCAATCCGCCTGGAGCGCAATTTTACTATCCTTGGCGCTTATGCGCCAAAGGAGCAGTGGGTCCTGCTGGACTTCAGTTACATTCGCGGACGGGTGCGTAGGCATGCTTGCATGCCTTATCACCTTTCCTTCCCGCCACCCCATTGCAGGCTTGATGAGTTAGTGAAAACACCCTTGGGACAAGCTTAAGCTCTCAGCTGCCAGCGGCGCACCGCTCGCGTGCATGTGATGACCACCAGGGGAAATGTTGTTTATCTTCTTGCCATTACCTTTACTCACATGACGCTCACATACATGTAACGATCGCACACACGTATGGGGACTTAGGATAAGGGGGTGCCTTCCCTCATACAACCCCAACCACCATCCCAACCACCATAATCCCAGCCCTACCAGTGCCGTAGAAAAGGCGCTCTTGCTTTGCTTCTTCATATTGATCACACACCCCCACATGTACTTACCAACCCGCGCCCGGGCGGGGCCCCGCCGCACTGCACCTGCAGCCCCCATACACTTACATACACTCCGCACGAGTCTGCAGCCCGCTGTAACAACTATACACACATGGCTGATGTGCGGTGTTTTCCTTTCCTCCGTGGCTTTTAGGCGTTGTAGTATTGCCCTTGGGCCTTCGGCTCGTATGGGTAGTCTTACAGGTATGGGGTCACGCACCCCCAACCATGTAACACACACATATATGTATGTGTGTATGTTACAAGTTACAAGTGCCGCACGAGTGCGGGGGGTTCCGTCAAAGCCGGGAGGCCATGGACTATATGTATTGAAAGTTTGATATACCGTACGACCGACGGCGGTTTGGGTCCTGCCAAATAGACCCCTCCTCATCCAGTCGCCCAACATCCGTAGAGATAGATCAGCCACCACCACGATCTCAGCATGCGAAACTTAGACCATCAACTAGACCTCATCTCCACACCTCAGCAGCGTTAGTAAACCTAGACCTCCCGAACAATGCCGGGGGTCTGACCAGGAATCGAACCCGGAACCTTCATATACACAAAGGCGCCACCAGACCAGATGTGTATGTATGTGGCAGTTGGGTTTACCCTAAACCCTAAGTTGGGTTTACCCTAAACCCTAAAATCCTGAAACCCTACAGTATGTATGTGGCAGTGTATGTGGCAGTAGCAGTCCATAAACGGTTGCTGTATATACAGCAACAGTTTATGGACTGGTCGTACCCATGAGCCCGCTGCGGACGATAAGCCACCCTAAGAACGTATTTATTACACACACACACACACACCTCAATGAGTACTTTGCGTATATCAGCTGCTGTCGTTTAGTACGGCAAGCATACACAAGGGTTACGTTACATGCTCTCTCTAAGTAGTAAAAATCTCGCTCTGTCGCCGCTGGCATTCCCATCATCTCCAGAGGCAGGCCCCCGTTTTCGTTCATTCGCCCGACAGCTACAGCTGCAGCAGTAACTACAGGGGGCAGCACACTAGGCTCTGGAGCCCACTATAACAATCGCACATACACACTTAGCGCCTTGTAGTCATCACATTCTAGGATTATCATGTCCAACCAGAACAATGCATGCTATGCTATGCCTACCAACTCATAGGGGGGATAACAGCGCCTAACTTCTTGGGCATATATGCCCCTCGTGAATGCAGCACACACACGCACACGCATACACCCTATCTTTCTATCTATCTATCTATCTATATTTACCTAGCTAGCAATCTAGCTATATCTATCGAAGCGCCCGCCCAGCGATCCGTGCATGTACGGAAAGCCAAACCCGCCGGCACTGCTCCGGAGGATTTATCCGCCATCCCAAACCCCGACCCTGTCCTCAACCCCCAAACCCCCAAACCCCGACCCCCAACCCTGTCCTCAACCCCCCTACCCCAATCCCTCATCGTCACCAGGTGGTCCTGTCCCCGGGCGTGACGTTCAGCCTATCCCAGCTGGTTATCGACGGGGTCAGGAAGGGGCCGTACTTCCAGGTAGCTGTGAGTGTGTGGGCGAGTGAGTGGGCGAGTGAGTGGGCGAGTGAACGTGTTGTGTTGTTGAGAGAGTGAGTAAGTGTAGAGTGTTATGTGGCGTACTGCTGGGACCTGCTGGTGATGGCTGGCTGCACGCCATCGAATCAAATGCCGCGCTCGCCTGCTGACGTGCTGTGCCGTGCTGTGTAGCTGCTATACGGGCCTGTATCTACCTAGCTACGTACCTGCCGCCTACCTAACTACAAGGCTACTTACCTGCCTGCTTATCAGTTGCCTTCTGCTGCTGGGATCCCTGGCCACGCATTCTGCATTTGGCTGGAGCTCAGATCAATGCGCTGAGCTAGCTGAAGACGCCAGCTGGTGACGGGCTAGCAGGGCTGCTGGCGCATGCATGCACCGCATGCGCTCTAGATCTGGTCGGCCGCTCGGTCTCCCCTAGCACAAGCAAGCTTAAGCCCGCCGCCGCGTATATAGATGTCATTCCCCACGCACATACAACTAGTTGTATGGCAGTACTACCATACAACTCCTACCTGCATAAGCTTTAATTGCACTCTTATTATCTTTATTACCAGAGCTAAAAGATGCTTTGATTATGCCGCCTCTTTGATACTGTTGTGCATGCATGCTGCACCTTACCACTGACCACTGACCACTGACCACTGACGACTTACCACTGACCACTGACCACTTACCACTGACGACTTGCTTGCAGACCCCCGGGATGGATATCATAATCTACATGCCGAAGGATCCCACCATGCCGTACGCATACGTGCTGGCCTACAATTGCGCCTACATACAACGTGAGATATATATAGTTCATATGTACATATATGTACATATATTACTACATAAATGTATTTACTGTTTACCGGAAGAGCAGAAGTTCATGCAAGGGATCGCCACTGCGATCCAGCTCTCGTACGACAGTCGCACAGAACTAGCAGCCTTAAAGGCTTTAACCGCTACATTCCGTCGTACCCCGTACTGCTATAATGAGCCAACAATCGATTCAACATATCGCTCGTCGGTACCACTAACTAATATTAATACCACAGTGTGTTGCTGTCTCTAAGCATGTATCTCGGTATGTAAATCTGCTCTCTGATGGTAGGTAGACTATCTAATACTAACAAATGAACACCTACACAAGCAACACTGACGTACAGACGTGTGCACGCAGGTACATGCCTTCCAGACTCGGTGATCTTGGCTTCATCCGGCAGCATCCGTCGCCCCACAGAGGTGCAACCAGGCAAGCAGCTTTCAGACCGGCTACCATTGTGGCAGCCCTGCGACCCCGACCCGAAGGCGCACGCACTTCGACGGTGTTGGCCCAAAATAGGAATGTACTTCGACCAGGCTGGCTACGGTGCCGATCTTGTAGGCCCAGGCGACTCACCCATGCCGAACAACTACATCATATGGACCTATCAAGTTTATTATTTGGTGAGGAACTTATTATAGTTTTAGTAGCTGGCTGCACGATGTACTACAGTACACCAGGATGGTGTACAGCAAGGTGAAGGGGGGAAAGTACGAACATCTTCGCAATGTATGTATGTATGTATGTATGTATGTATGTATGTATGTATGTACTGGCTGCCGTTCTCACCACACCAGCGTGTAGTACATGATGTACTACGGGATGGTGTGTCCGCGACATGACCCTGATCGTGTTAAGAAACGGAAGCTGCTGCGGTGTCCTTTTGCGATGTCCTGTGTGCCAGTGTGATAGCAGCTAGATAACGGGTACCTGTATATTTTGTTGACGTATATAAAGACGTGCGCGCCTAGCCAGCAGCTAGCAAGTTACAATAGTTACAAGTTACGTATACAGACCTGCCCACCTAGCCAGGAAGCCAGCAGGCATATCTGATATATGCTTTCAAAATATATATGCGGTGACGGGTGGGAATAAGCCGTCCCAGCCGACCACACATATATACATACGCTCACGCTTCATGTTCGTATTACATACAGTCATGTAGGCAGGGTGGGTGCCTCGCAGATTTTGTTTTGCCAGGCCAGTTGGTACGACGGAAAGACATGCTGGTGGTTATTAGACCCCACATCACACGTACATCTATCTATCTATCTGTCTATCTATCTATCTATCTATCTATCTATCTATCTATCTATCTATCTATCTATCTATCTATCTATCTATCTATCTATCTATCTATCTATATGTATATATGTACCATGATGGGCCTTAAAAATATTGAAGAGAACGCGGGACGGGGCTCGAACCAGATACAACACTCACCGTCCATAGGAGTGTGGATGGACCCCCCAATGAACGAACACCATTATCGGAGGCAAAAACGTTGCGTTGGATGCTGCTGGACCTGAAACGTTACTATCTACTGCTGAATGTCATCGAAGTCGGCTGCGCATGCATGGGTGATGAGAAGGATGAGGACGTCCCGAACCATTATTGGGCAGCGTGATCACCAGAATAACCCTCCCGAGCACAAAGATTATGCATGTGTACTCCTCCTGCCTCCTAAACCCTACAGTGCAGTACAGTGATGTCGGAGGAGTGTGGGGCCCGGGCCCCGGTGCTATGTTTCTACACGATGTTTCCTCGGGACGAAGATAACCGGACCACCACTAACAACAGCGCTAGCATTAGTAGCAGCACTACTGCTGCTGTGCCACAGCCCTTTAGTAGCACGAGTAAAAACGCCACCGGCGGACCGATCATCGCCACTAATGCCACTGCGGCTGACAACCCTAACCAGCGGAATGTAAGTCCCGGAAAGGTTTTCATGTGGGTATTGCATACATACATACATGGGTACTATGTGCTTTCCTACATGCATACATACATGCAGACACTGAAGGCTTCTGTAGTAGCTCGTACATAGTATGTACGGCACACATGACGTCTACATGGCAAGTACGTGGCAAGGCGCTCTGCCAGTATCTTGTTGAGAGGCCTTTTCACCGGTGGCCAGCAGCTACTACTACTACTACTACTACTACTACTACTACTACTACTACTACTACTACTACTACTACTACTACTACTACTACTACTACTACTACTACTACTACTACTACTACTACTACTACTAGTACTACGCAATGTGCGATTGATGGGTTGCGTGATTGCACGGAACGGGCTTTCATATGTATATGCAAATGTTCAATACAGGAAAATGCAACATACAAGTTAACATATGTTAACTTGCATGCATGCAATTTGTGAAACGCACATGTCGCGTTGCGCTTGCTGTATGATTCCCACGTCTTCACCCTACAATAACCCACCCCTATCCACCTACCCTACCTTCCACCCACCGAACGTGAATGCATACCTAGGGACCTGCGAGTGAACTTGCACTGGCGGCGCCCCGGCAGCAGCAGCAGCAGCAGCAAGATGAGGCAGCGGCTGCAGGGGCTTCTGGAGGACAGAGAGGGATTGGTGCTGGCGGGGCTGTACCGCTGGCACCTTTGTTGGGCGGCTTGCTCGGAGGTGGGCTAGGGGTAGGATTGTGTTCGGGCTGGGCAGTGTGCTGGAAGCAGGTGTTGGAGTAATGAGGGGTTGTTACGTAATAATGGGCAGTGGTGTGGGTTGCAAGCGTGATCGGGGTAGGGCAGGCTAGATGCCATACATACATACATACGTACGTGTACGGGAAGCGTTCGTTGTGCCCCCTATAGGGCCCACCTATCCTGCATGTCGCCGCATCGCACGTGCAGTGGTAGCATGGCCCTCTAGAGCAGATCTGCTTTGTCCGCTAGCTATTACTAGGGAGATATTAGGGAGATATGTTTTGTTAGGTCCTACCCAGTTGGGACTTGAATCAATCACCTTCAACTTTTGATACGGTATTTTAGCATTGCAAAACGGTCCAGCCCCAGAGCAAAGTCCTTAGTCTAGATGTACTGGTCTAGGTGCCCTCGCTGTCCGTAGTCGGTCCTAGCCGCCCACCAACTAGTCAAACATCACCATTACATCACCGCCGCTTATTTGTACGGGCTCTTGACATCACTCTTCTAAATCAATCATTTACCTGAAGAATTATAATTAGCTGCCAGTCAAGCAGTTTGTTTGTTTTTCATTGGCAAAGCCTAAGCAGTTACGAAGTACAAGTTCCGGATAAATGGGGGGGTGATACATCAAATTGATTTGCTTACAGGACTGGCGGTCATGATTGCCACATCACTGGTGGTGGTCGTGTTACGGCGGCGGCGTCGGGGGGGACTGGAAGAAACCAAATTACAGCACCAGCAGGACCAGCAGCTGCAAAGAGTGTCGTAAGTTTTTTTGGGGGCGGGGCTTACTTGGATTGTTCCGGTTGCGATGCCCGCGCATGGTATGTATGTATGTATGTATGTATAACCTGCGACACTCACTGCTGTTGCCAATAAGCACGTACGTACAAATATACATACATACGAACAACCTCTCTATCTGTGTCTGCTTTTGACTGCTGGTACCTGCAATCGATCTACCTGGTACCACCATGCATTTTTCATGCGGCGGATTGCGACGGGCAATAAATGACAGCCACTGGAATAACCTAAGTGGGCCATATAGCGGAAGCGACGGCGGCGGCTGCGGCCAGCAGCAGCAGGGGCCGTATTCCGTTATACGAGTACGGCAGTTATCATCGCTTGCACCACTGGATGATGCGGCTGCTGTGGTCGATGCCGCCCCGCCGGCAGCTGCTGCGGGGGCCGGCGGGGCCGCTGCTGCCACCTACCTTATCACCCACGCCGGCGGTGGCTGCACTATGGAAAATGATTGCCACTGCCATCGCCACCCGCAGCAGCAGCAGCCAGAGCAGCAGCAGCAGCAGCCAGAGCAGCACAAGGCCGACCTTGACGCGATCTACATGCCCGTCACGATGAAGACACCCATGCAGGTCGGTGGGTGCATACTTAATATAACACACGGCAGGCGGCTGGCAGAGGTTAAGGCCTGGCTTCTGCTCCCGTCGCGTCCCAGCGCGTCCGGGTTCAAATCCGCCTGCCGACCTCTCGGGGTGTTTGAGAGGTGATGAAATGGGAGGTGGCCCCCCATCTTGTGGACGGTGTAGGACGTGATAAAATCAACTCGCGAGCTGACCAGGAACTAAGTTGACGCGCCGTTGATCCGCTAGATTTGGTTGGATGCTGGTGGTGAGTTGCCAAACTCAAAGAGTACACTCTGAAGTCGGATGGGGTGAATGGCTTAGGGTGCCCCTCTAGCAGGGGAGAGCAGGGAACTGCCTCGGGAAGGAGGCCACTGGTGAAGCTTAACCACCCTGTAACAACATCAACACACAATACACACGCACGCACGCAGTCAAACGCTATGTATGCATCTGCTGTAAAATGTCTTATCTCCTAGCTAGACGACGGTCCCTATCCATGTATGTGATCGACAGCTATATAGCTATAGTCGATCACATACACGCAATCTGGTAAATTGCATGGGGACCGTCGTCCGTTTTTCCCTCTCTCCCTCCCACCCACGCTCTATCTACCTATCTATCTATCTATGTAGATATCTATGTAGATATCTATATATATAGATATGTATATAGATATATCGATCTATGTATCTGTCTGGGCAGTTGTTTATGGTCTATAGATCATCATCATGGGCGCAGTACAATACACACATAGGCCTGAAAATAGATGATCTTGTAGGCGCTGCTCCATTTTACAGACATAATGCATCCGTGACACTGCTATCCTTTCATGAGACCGAACTATCAACTAACGGACTAACGGTATTCTGTACGACCAACTAACCGACCAACAGGCGGACGTCCAGCTGGGGCTATCAGACCTGGACGGGGGAGGTAGTGAGGTGCAGCTGAGTGCGGTGGTGCTGGGCAAGGGTAGCTTTGGTCGTGTGGTCGAGGGGGTGTACGGCGGCTTACGTGTGGCAGTAAAGCTGCTCAATACAGGCCTAATTTGGGAGCAGTCGGGGGGAACAACCACTGTAAGAGCCGCCACTGCCGCCGAACAGCTAGAGCAGCAGCAACAACAGCTAGAGCAGCAGCAACAACAGCTAGAGCAGCAGCAGGAGCAGCTAGAGCAGCAGAAGGGAGCCGACGGAGCGAGTGGAGGGGGCAGAGCCCGGGGGGCGTGCTGGGCGGCATTGGCGCAGGAGGTGGAGGTCTTGGCGCGATGCCGCCATCCTAACATTGTACGACTCCTGGCCGCTAGTCTCGAGTGAGTATTGCACAACAGCAGCGGCGTAGTAAGTATGTATGTAGGTGGGTATGTAGGTATGTATGTAGGTAGGTAGATAGGTAGGTAGGTAGGTAAGTAGATGGGTAGGTGTGTCTTGTCATGGTATACTAGATAGGGCGCATCACGGGATTCTGGCAACCGCCGATCGGTACTTTCTCAAGTCGAGATACAACAATATAGACACTCTTCCATTATACAAACGCGGCTGCACACACACGGACTTAAGCGGGGTCGCGTGGCGGAGTAATAAGCGAGCGAGCGAGCGAGGAAAGAGAATGTATTTATTTGCGAGCAGTGGAAATGATTTATTTATTGCAGGTTGGGGAAGAAAAGATAGGTAAGAGGTGCTTTCTGCTTGCTGCGACGAGAGAGAAAACGTTACTCAATATATGTGTGATGTGATGCAATATTAGATATATTTATCATTTAATCGATAAATAGTAAACCTACTTCTGGCTTTTTCCCAGGTTTTTCATAACCTCAAATTCTGCCGTACCGTAATTGTACATCTGCCGTCCGCACGTGTCATGAATA